GCTGGAAACGTTTCTTTTTGCATTTTTCACACAATTGCAAATCTCCGTGGCACAAATGCACTCCCCGTTTTATATTACAGTCGTCGCACTTCATTCTTTAGTGGATAATGATATAGTATAACGAATTTGAGGTAGTTTTCCCGTGAAAATCTCAAGAGCACGAAATTGTTCACTGTTCACACATGCGCACTTTATATTATTATTATTATTATTTTATTTCCATTTCTCTAAAGAAATATACCCCACTAACCTGGGGGAACAGGTTACAATGCGAAAGTTACAGGCGTGACTTTAATCGCCCCAATAAAATAAAGTATTATATATATACACATACACACACATATACAACTCATCTATTGGAGAACTCACACTAACAAATTATATCTAATCTGAAAAGCTGTGTATACAAATCTTGCAATACTTTGGATGATTTCATGGTTATCCTGAGAAAAAATATATGTAAGTTTACGGATAGGCGAAAGGAACTCGAATTGTGGTTCAATGCGGTTAATTTGATCAAAAAGCGGTTTTCGAATATATGCTGGACATACTACCAGAAAATGAGTTTCATCTTCAACAGCATCTATACATATTTGGCAGGTTCTATTTTCCACTGGAGTTCCATAATATCTACCGGTCTCAATGTGTAACTTATGATTAGAGCACCGGAGTTTAGTTAAGGGATTCCCTTCAAGTACCTTTATATGTTAAAATGACCACAGGAATCAGAGGACTTGAGAATCAATTTGTTGGCCTACAGATCGTCACACTACACTACATCAGACTATGTCAGGTCGAATAACTTCATTGTGGCTCTAAATCTGAAGGTTGCATACCTACTGTTCACCCAAACAGCCAGTGTCTGTTGAAGTTTGCAGTTCACCTAAATAGACCATAAAGTATATCAGAAAACAATACTCATACCTATTACTATACGTAATCAAATGGAAGGAGTTAATTATCAGCTGCAAGAGACAAGTCTCTGTTACAAGGCATTATAGTACTCATTGCTCCTTAAAATACTGACTCGCTGCTGTCACATTATAGTACTCATTGCTCCTTAAAATACTGACTCGCTGCTGTCACATTAAGATAAACTTGGAGTGCAGGTACTTGAAGGGAATCCAGTTGTGGCCGGAACTGTATAGGTGTGTTGGTTACAACCCAGAACTTGAAAACGTCTGCATGTGTGAAAAAGGCCTAAACTATTTAGTGTTAATGCAAGACTGTACCTGTCATCCAACTCGTTTATATTTATATCCACCTAGAATTATCCAATATGTAGTGGGCCAACATGGGTGGTTTTCAAATGTCACTGGATGATAAGAGGACCCACTCTGGCATCTGTATGAATGATAATCCAGAATGTCGCTCTCTGCACGATTATGTCACCATTGAAGATGGTGATTTTAATGGAATTACCACTCTCTGACACCAATCTCAACACAATCCTTGAGTTTCTTATTTGTCTTGGACTCTCTTGGAACACCCACTATAAATTGTCACCTGTCACACCATTTCAATTGGAAGGTGTAGCAAGATTCAAGCACTGTCATATACAGGGAACATTGCGCACTCAACATTTTTATGTAACATTTTACATAGGATAAAATTCTCTCATTATCGTATATGGCCTCAACCAAACAGCTGGACATATTGACAAGTCATTTTAAATGGTTAGGATCTTTAACCACTATTGCAATCTTATTATATTCATCGTAGCTTGCTGAAATAAATGTATATTACTGGCACCATTAAATTTGTCTGTGTCAAATAATAATTTATCATAGAAATAATAATTGCAATAATAACAGCTTCATTCTCATGATTACGATGAATATGTCATCAATTAAGGTGTCACAGTAAATTCAAACTTTCTGTTTTAGGTAACGCAATTTCTGATGTCACAGTCACAACAAACTTCATATTTGTCAAAACAAAATTTAAATCATTTCAAAAGAAACGTTTAGAACATGTGACACATTGTCGTGGTCCATAATATAAGTGATTCATTAACTTGTATATACATACATGGTCAGTCAAACATCGACTGTCAACGATCATCCCGCCAGGAAATTCTTATACAAGCTCTAAAACATGTACTTTTACATTGATGAGAGAACACTATTTGATGTAAAATATCTAATGATGTATTCATGTGTACACATAAATAAAGAGAGCACCCATATTGAAGACCTAAATCTATAAATCAAGGCAATGGTTTTTGATGCCTCTGTGAATTTCAAGTCCTGCCTTTATATACATAAACAAAACACAACATCTTAGCAATATTACGAACACGTGTGACTTCAGTCGGACTCGTCTGGGCGTCATTCGCTTGTCGTCAGCAACAGCAGACTTATTCTAAAAAATATATTAATTCATTTATCAGCAGAAAATACATGCATGCTAACACTGGCTAGGCTACATTTCAATGAAAAAATCGTGTATAACGTGCAACATCAGCACAATCAAGTATATCTATTTAGCAGATCAATTCATATTGGCGCCATTTCAAGACAAAGCACCAAAACTATGACTTCAACACAACTTTTAAAAATAATGTACCCGGTAGTGTGATATTCATTTTAGTAGGATGTATTAGTATACTATATATTAGTATTAGTGCCCCTTGTTACTATCGGCAACAGTTTAGTCGGGGAGCCTACAGATGTCATTATACCCAATCACCAACAATTCAGTTGGCTTGCCGTGAAAGTTGTCATCATACCTCGACATCAGCAGTTAAGTCGACTTGCCTACAGATGACCACATACCTCATCATCAACAGTTCATTCGGCTTGCTTTCAGATGTCAGCATATCTTGTCAACAACAGCAACGCCTGGGGTAACGTTGTAGTTATTGTTTCATTAATTTCCAAAAAAAAAACACAATGTGTTGTTTTAAAATAAATGTTATACGTTTTACACTAGTTTAACTTACATGGCAACAACTTGGCACATTGCCGTTGCCTGTGCCGTATGTTTCCAGTTATGTTCCTTATAACCGGACAGTAAACTTCCCAGATAAGAGTTCTCATAAACTATGTTTCATCTATAATGTATAAAAAACACCATTCGCTCACTCACCATAACGTTTTAAGTTTCTATTTAATGGCGTGGATAGCTAATTGATTCGCAGGCCAATGGTTAAGAAGCTCAACAAACATATATCATCAATTAACCCAACTGTAAATAACTTAAACGTAAACAATGATTCACGCTTTTTCAATACACAGTACAGCTTGATGTGCAGAACATGTATTTTTCTATAATAGATTTTAATATGAAATATCATCTATCAACTGAACGTTTCACTATTTTGTTCATACTGTGAACATTTCTAATAAACCTATTATAATTGTTTGATAATGTATTGTGTTTTCCAGAGGTAAATTATGCCCAGCAAATAAGAAGCTGCAGCAAAAATATTACGTGCTTATAATTTCTGTATTATTCATTCCCTGTGTACTGTTTACTTCTTAATAGTGCATCTACCGCTGGACTAATATTGTTATGTATGCAAATAGGAACATTTACACTGAAGAAAACTGAGTAATGTTAATTTATTAAGTAATTATCCAAATTCATTAATACATAATCAATAACACTGCAAATATAATCTTTAGTACAAATAGTGAAATAACCCCGACTACTATCTACTTTGACAAGTTTCATTATTACTATCGGAACCAATAACAAATGCATCTTTTTTTGGAAATCAGGAAGATTTTCCGTACACTGAACACAATTCTTTCGTTTTCATACTTTCCGATGAGGGCCGTAACCACACCCATATCTTTAAATTGCTAAAGATAAATATTGTCATGTTTATGATAAGCTTATTGTACTATATACTGACCACTTTCCCATCTCATTTTAACTCTCGCACTTGATGGGGGAGATCTTCAGTATTTGCAAACTTGCTTTCTTACTAAGTTTTTCTTTTTATTTATTGCATTTCACGATAATGGGCTGTGGGAATTAGACAGCTTATAGGTTCGTTATAACGGTCAGATCCAAGATCGGCAGAAATGAATTCCCACATTTCAGCTTGACTTTGTCCTATGTATCTTTGTCTTTTGTTCTATTCTGTAAACATTAAGATTATTTGATTATTTTATGTTGCCTTGAGTTCTAGTGATATCGTGTTGAAGTACCAATTTAGATTTTATCTTTTCGCTCAACTCATACATTTTCATGGATTTTGGCGGTTAAGTATTACTTTAGAACAGATAATGGGAGTTTGAAAAACACCTTTAATTATCATTAGCTCAAATATCTTTCACGATCTAGATGTTATTGATATCCATCGACTGGTTGGTTACTACTAAGAGATACCATGTTGTTTCCTTTATGTGAATTGCTAGTTTAATTGGTCACAGTTAAATGAGTGTGTATTTTGAGATATTATTGGCAGTTTTTTGGAATATTACAGCACTGTCAAAACGCTAAACATTGGCGAATATATAAATTGGTTTTATTAGCATATATATTTCTTGTTATGTGTATCAGTCGCATCCGAGAATTCTCTAATATAAATCACTCCTGAACAAATCACTTCGCACCTGTTTTCTAATTTTCTACTATGTTCTTGTGATTGCATGTAATGCTAATGTCAGTGTTAATCACTTCAAAAGGTCATACAACATAGTGCTTTCATCTAGTGCTCAGAGATAATTCTTTGTGTTATGACAAGTGAATATAATATACCATACAACCTTTTTCATTAAATCAGTGTATATTATATATGAAATGCATACAAGGTAAAACTACACTTTCATTACCAAAACACGTTTGTAATCATTCACTAAAATGCCATTTATTGTAACAATTGGTTGAATGAACAGAGAGACATATGTGGGGGTATCCCATAATCCATTATTTTTTGATATAAATAACTGGGTGAATGGTAACACATGTTGGCGGATTAAAACTTGTTTATTCGTGAATGACGTGTTTTACCAGTCTGTAGTCTGTTTGTTCGGTGACGTGTCACTACCATATCTGTATAGACCTCATTGCTCAGTTAGCTAGCTTATCATAAAGACATTATGTCGAAGGAAGTGTGTGTATTTGTTGGGGGGTTTATTGCGATAATTGTACTATTAGCGATACAGTTTGTAAGTAACTTCACTGTCTGTATGTACGTGATATGTGTCATCGCCGGGGTCACAACTATATGTTGTCTAATTCTGATACTTTTGAGGAGTGGTAAGGTATCCATTGAAGGAAAAATAGTATTTATCACTGGATGTGATACTGGATTTGGACATGAGTTGGCAAAAAGGTTGGATAGTATCGGAATGGTTGTTTTTGCAGGATGCCTTTTAGGGGGTGAGTATGGCATTCTTGTTGTTGGTATTTATTATTTCATATATGATGCTTACCGGGGTTTTCGTGAATAGCAATATTTAGAAAACATCAATTTCAATACAATACATTTTCAATACATTTTCAATACAAACTGAAAAAGGCGATTGGCTCAACACATTTGTAGCTCCTCCCCCAGAAGCCAACGTTCTGCCATTCAAATAACTTATCGAGTGTGTTCGTAAAGAAAACATAAAGGTCAACGACCACTTCACCCAGTATAATTGTATATCCGTAATGAACTACACTCTTCATAACTCACATTATGTGATATACAAATCAATTTCTATTCTGTACGTAATAGGTAATTTGATATTGGTAAATAACAGCCGCAAATATTTTGCATGTCAACAACGATATGCACTTTTGCATTTTATAACATGCATGTTACTAAGTAAATCATATACAATAGACTCACTTAAAAAATCTAAAAAAACTATACGCGAACCAGGCCAGAATGTCTTTTTGTATGTAAATTATCCAAATGTGGGAACATTATGATTCTCAGTAATACGAATAGTAGAGCTGATTTACTTATGATTATTGCAATGATTCATTTACATCATTCTCATATTAATATCTGAATAATATCATTATAAAAATACACACAGATAGTGATCCAACTGTCATGATATAGCTTTATGTGTAACTGTTTTTACAATACTGAATGCAACTATAATTGTTACGGTGTGAGTACAGTAGATTGTGCATTAACTTCTAAAGACGTAGTTAAAAAATAGTAAATATTTCAAAGCGCATGGTTTTACTGATACGTCGGATCACTGTCCAATATTTTGCATGATTATAGTAAATGAATTTAATGGATCAAAACAAATAATATTAGTTATTTAAATAATAAAACTAAGATCTTCACATAGGACAAATTATCAGTTTTGAATATCAAGATAAGCTAGCATAAAAACAAGGAAGAAAAAAATCAAATCTTAATAAATAGTGAGGCAGTAACTGATTTTAACCTAATTACTGGTCATTCAGTCTACCATGTATTCAAAAGAAGAAGGACAAATAGAAAAACTGAGAAGAAACATAAGAAGAAATGGTATGATAGAGAATGCATAATTCTCAAAAAGGCCTATCTATCAGGGGGGAATTCTTCTCCTCGGGGTTCTCCACACGTGTCAGGGGGGAATCTCGTCTCGTCTCTATGTCACGTCCCCTTGAGGTATGGGATCGGGAAAGTCACTTTAACTTAACCGTCAAATAAGACACACACAACGAAATACGTTTCAGCTCTCGTCTTAGTCGGTCAATCGAGCACTCTATAAGACACAGCGCCCTGGGGAAAAATCCCCAAGACTATCGCAAGGCTGACCCAAGACTCTCTTAGACTGCGCCAACACTCGCCCCAAGGCTCTCCAGGACTAGACTTAGACTGCGTCTCTCGTGGAGTACTCGTCAAGACCAACTCAAACTCTCTGTATTCATTTTCAAAACTCTAACCAATTACAAAGCAGTAAAAAGACTCTAGGGCGTAACCGTCAATCATAAAGCCAATCACACTAAGTACTGAACACGTCATATCTTTTGATTAATCGTTCACTACAATAATAACTACGAATACCAACTGTCGGAATTAATAGGCCGAATAGCTACGGTTTTCTCGTAATTAGTTCCAAATCACTGAGCCAAGTTCCGTCCAAAACTTCAAATAGGCCTAAACGATGACAGACATAACACAGCAATTCGCTAACAATCAGCTAATTAAGTCGATTAACAGATACGCGTAAATTCGTGACATATCTAACACAGTAGAATTATTTAGAAAATACTCTTTTGATACGTAGGGTATCGAAAATACAAAAAAAATGGTTAAGAACAAAAAATACAGAACATAACCTAATTGTTAAAAATACAAACTCAAAACAATTCTGGCAGATAATCAACTTATAGAATCTAGTAAGAAATCAAATCCAATTTCACCTGAAGCCTGGAATAAAAACTATAAACAATTAAGTAATAATGCTTACACAATAAAATATCATCAACAGTTAAATCCTTAGGAAATATAGAACTCAAATATAATTCAGGTGAGGTAAACAAGAGATAACAGAAAACGAAGTTAAAATAGCATTAAATAGTATTCAATAGTATTAAAATTAGTAAGCTAAAACCTAGACAAAGCATCTGGATATGAAGGATATTGTCTAGAAATATTGAAATATAGCTCAGATTATTTAATTAAACCACTGACAGTGTCAAGCTGTATTGGAAAAAAACGTGTTGTTCAATAATGAATAACAGACCATTAAAAAACTTAGTGACACAATATTATATATTGAATGGGCAATATAGACGTATATTTTATAGTTTTCCTCCAACCCCTGATAGGGCTAGACCATGTTTTACTTGAAAGGCCTCATCTAGCGCATTAAAAGTGCATTCACCTAGTATTTCTGCTCTATGCAAGGAAACATGATTTCCCTCACCAACAATTCATTCTTCATTCACTTCCACCATCTGTTGACGATAACCACTTAGAAGTGATGACCTGCTAAAATATCCCCACCCTCTTAACAACACGTTTTCAGGTCAGCTGCTTTAAAGTTTTAAATTCTAACCAGTGAAACCATGGTTTATCTCCCATTACACTGATTGTGTACACGTTCATCTTATAAGTATTATGAATATAATTAATATGACGTGATAACATATTTGATGTAATGTATCAAGTAATATATACCATAACATTGATGACATCGATATTTCCTCACAGTTGACATCATGTAAGTTATATCATAAATATTTTCATAACTAATATGTATACTACCAAGGAGTAACAGTCATACGAATGTGTTTCTATAACAGATGGTGAAGGGGCATTGTCATTAATCTCACACTGTTCAGATAGATTAAGAATAGTTCAGGTTGACGTCACCAGTGACGAATCAGTAAGAATATCAAGGAAGGTGGTAGAAGAGCATATTCTAAAACTGGAAGAAGGTGAGGTTACTGATAGTAAACGTACGAGTATGAGTATTTTCAGATTAAGAGTATGTTTACTATGTTATACCACTTATTTGGTGAGTTCTACTCGTTTTTGTAGTCGCTTTCACAAGGATTTTTGATTTTTTTTCTACAAACCCTATCGTGGTTACTGCAGTTTTGTGGCTCTCCACATGCCATAATGGTTTGGTATTACCATTGTATGGTTTTGTAGTTGTTCTCACATTCCAATAATTTGGTATTACGTGTGCTTTGCTGTGTGACTGTAGTCAGTATATCCGGTTCACATATTGACATTATATATTTGTTCAGGGATCTGGGCAGTCGTGAATAATGCTGGCATATGGACATGGGGTGAACTGGAATGGGGGAAGGTAGAAGTACATAAACGATTGGCCGAAGTTAACTTGTATGGTATGGTTAGAATTACTCAAACATTTTTACCACTTGTAAGAAGAGCTAAAGGTATTACGTCCATTTCCTTTGAGTTGATTAAAAACACTTGTACTTATGATAAGTATTTACAAATTTGTGGTTCAACGATGAAACTAATATGGAAATTTTTATACGAAAATCGAGTCTTTTGTGGGAAGAGAACGTTTGTCTTATTCTTTTAGTTTTGAATGAGCCACACATTCCGTCCAAATAATGTCTAATGCGTACATTAGATGATATGAATATAACATATAATACTGTCAATATAGTATATCATATCATATTAGTATATTGTTTATGTGAATAGGACGTATAATTAATGTTACGAGTATGGTTGGGAGATGGACTCCACCCGGTAATGGCATGTATTGTATGACGAAATATGCAGCGGAAAGTTTTAGTGATGCATTACGTAATGAAATGTACCCATGGGGTGTTAAGGTAATGTTACATAGAACTTTTAGTGTCAACATAAAGAGGCATACAGTTATATTATTGGTTATCAATTAGGTACCATAAATAGAAACCCCAACTGTGAAATATTCATGTATCATATACATTTTAGTAAAATGCAAATATATTTTTTCAACCAATAAAGTTTGATATGAAGTTTGAAAGCTATGTGTTTTTATTAACGCCCATATAGTATGTAACGAGATGCATCTACATTGAGGACATTCATTCATATTTCACAGGTATCCATGATAGAACCTGGGCTATACGCAAGGGCAACCAACATTGGTCATAGTAACCCTGAGATATTTCATCGTTTATGTGAGGAATTATGGGATGGAATGACAGATGATGTCAAACGAGAATATGGGATAGAACATTACACTTCCCATGTGCAGTATTTAGTAGAGCAGTTAAAACAAACCTTACCAAACTGTAATGATGTAATTGATGTCATGACTCACGCAATTATTTCTAAGGAACCCAAACATCGGTATTTGGTTGGTTCTTTTTATGACACACATTTTATGACATTATTTCATCAATATGTCCCATCATTTATATCTGATCTTCGATATCAACGCTTTTACAGTGAGTTTTGTACCCCAGCTGCTCTAAGGGATAAGCAGACATAATGACATTCTCCACTTTACGCTCTTTCTTTACTAGAGTTGTGATTTTTAGTTGGAGTTAAAAATATTTTACATTGTGCATGTACACTTATTATAATTAGTCACTGATTACTATCATGTGGGGATTTTAACATTAATTTGATCATTTATGGAATTCTGGGATATTTAAAATCTGAATAAAGTAAAATACACTCTGGCTGCATTCCTACAAAGCGTCAAACTAGATAATGTTGCTATGGTGAAGAGTCATTCATTGAAGTCTTTAGCACATATCACTGACGTTAAACCAGGCAGTATTTCTTAATGGAGAACGCATGCTAATGTCCGTCAATAAAGTTCCCCAATTATTTCATGTAGTTACAATTTCAATTCGCAGTAAAATGGTAAATAGTCACATAATTTTGCCGCCATGATCGTATTTTCCGCAAGGAATGTGACACTTGCAATCGTATTGGATTTCTTTAACCACTAACTATTAGCTGTGAACGAAGTGTATTACAGTTATAACAAATATTATGGTTGATCATACTTGTACTATATATTGATACACGGAACACTCATTTCCAGGACATGCAGACATTATCGTTTACCTATATATAAGTTTCAATTGTGTAAATGAAGACACATGTTTGGCTATAGCGCCCTCTAGCATTTCTAGGGAAGACGTCATAGAATTGACCTGTCATGCCAAATAAGTCGGGGTCAAATAAGCAGAACCATTAATTTGACAGGGATGTCATACTTATAATGCAGCAAGTTGTTTCAATTGCTGTTGTGATTTTAAAATATCCCTGTCAAATGCATTTATTGTAATTTAAACTCGTATTCATCAAGGATTTACAATCAGAAAGGTAACGCCCCTATTATCTGTGTTGTCTCCATAGGAAAATGGTTGCATTTATCTAGTTATACTACTACTACTATTTAATAAAGATCCTAGAAAGTTGGTATTTATAGGTCTGTGTTTTTTTTGTTTCTGACGTTTCCCAATATGTCTGGTTATTCATTGGTTTGTATATTGACTGTATCGGTGTGTTTGTGGGTTTTGGTAGCTGTTAAAGCTACTTCTGGTCGACAAATCTTATATGATAAAACTTTGATGTCATATCTTTATGCAAATTTGCCACAACTGAATACAATTAGTACAACATCTATTTATACAATTCCTGTATTAAATGTATGTGTATAATATCTATAAACATGTGAGCTGTTGATCCTAAACAATACTGCAATCTTTTTTTATATTTAAGTTAATCTTATGTTGAAACTTTCCTTCAGTATATAATAAGACTGTGGGTGTAGCGATGGTCGGAGAAGCCTAATTTAAAAACCATCTAAAGTGGTTACAATACAAAAATGAAATTATTAGCTCAAAAATGTATGTGAGCGACTTCTTCAAAAAATGCTGAACTAATTGACTTGATTGTGTTGTGTACTGTTCTTATGAGTGTATATATGCAAATTTATTCATGCGAAATTTATTAGCTATCAAAAACTATTAGTGTTTATATTGATTGTAACATGCATACAATACAATTCTATCAGTTTGGTGACAAAATTGTCAAAAATTCTGTTTTTTGGTGAATAATTTCTGTGTTATTGTCAAAAGTAGTTGGTAACTGTGAGTGCACTAACGCATTTATGAGCATATGTTACAGTTTCTTAGTTAAATATTTATTGCAATAAGATGAATTATATAATTGTTTTGGTACACTAGAATAACTAAAATTCACAAATGATATTGTGATCGAGTCAAATCATGTACCTGTACAAGTTATATGAACAGACACAACTACTATTTTGATAACAAGCATTTTAATATTTTAGTTTAGGTTATGTGCTTTTTTTTAAATTTGACACTAAGTTGGCATCTGTGCGAACACGTGTCATCCCATCGGTACTCACTATATGGGCTTTACTGAATTTACATAACAGGAACATTGATAAAGCAAGTTATGCTGAATAAATTAACTAGTGTGACAGTATATAAGTTCATAAACATCAACTAGGAGCAACTAGGTTAGACTACTTTCCTGACATAAGAATATGCAAATGCCTCCATGCCGAAGATAATCAACGTTGTAAATCAAATCCGTGACAGAACTAGTCCTCTTTTCGAAGAGTTAATCAAAAACAAAAAACACAGTGTTCATCTCACCATAATGTCCCAAATACATATTGGAGTTGAAATCAATTTATTCTGTGAAATGTGATTAATAGATTGCAAATTCAAGTAAACATTAATGGCGTTGAATTTTAGATGCAAATGTGTAATACCACTGTAGACCAAAATATCGTAAGTGGTTTACCGACCTGTGGTGGCGAACAACACAACTTGATTGTATATATTCTGAGTGATGGGATTGATATGCTTCCACGTTCAGGCTTAGACAAACATGATAACTGGGGGAATCTGGCAAGGTCTGTGCTGATGATTCTCTAAAAACACGGGATCTGATCTGAAAATAAGAGAGAGCTTCCACAATAACTCACCAGGGTTGAGCAGACAAAAACATGAAGCAGTGGTAATCACTGGTCATTGCATTAATTACATAACTGCTGGCGACGTACATTATTGATGATGTGAATAGTTTCCATATTGTTACAGTATTTTATGGATGTCAGAAGAAATGTGGCTACAATAATACGATATATAGATACTATGGCTGATGCATACGTACGAGCTCAACGTATAACGCCTCTTCCCACGCTCCTCGTCCTTGTTTTTAGACCTTCTCTTCACCAGATGTTACGAGTATGCTGCGAATCTTTTTTTGTGGACTCTTTGACATGGAACATCAACAATAAAAACAAGTTTTTCCTGTCTTGTCCGGGGGCATTCAAGTGTACTGACTTTAGCCTGGTCGAGCATTTTACTTTGTAGGTCTGGATGAGTGAATGGGCTTATTTTACTACTAGATATTATGCCAACGATGTCATACCTTCAAAATGAAACACGTCAATGGCAATGCATCTCCTTGCGTGGTCCCTTCAGGTGTTCCTTAAGGCTCGCTGATTGGTCTACTAATGTTTTGTTATTTGTCAATGATCTACCAGAGCTATATGCAAATTTGCACTGCTCAATGTATAAAGAAGACAGTAAGATACTTGAGTCTGCTAGTATGGAGGGTGATTGTCTTACACTTCAGTCAGATTTGAGAAAGTGGTTTAATACTCTCAACATTTCTAAATTCAAAGTTATTAGTTTTTCGAACACAAAACATTAAACAGATCAAGAAGATGTCTACGGAATTTTTAAGCAGCAGAAGATGAGAGCTACCATAGCCATCATTCTCCCAGTGTAGTAATTTGGTACATTGACCATGACAAAATGATCTAGTAAAGAGTAGATAGACGAACGAAAGTTGTTTTTTTTTGGCTAGAGAAAAACTCAAAAACACAAAAATAGAAATTGTCCTGCCAGTTAGTCCCGCAGTCATGTGAAAGTGGTGGATGGGTCCAGGTTTGAATGCATGAATAATGTCTGTTTTCCAAAGCAAACCGCGTGCAACGAGAAGTAGTTATTTTGAAATCGTTAATGAGTGTTATTGCGAGGAGCTGACAAGCATTTGAATATTTGAACCATGCTGATAAGAAGACAATGGTAAACCAGCTAGAGTGACAAGAAAAATGATTAATATAAGAAGCACTTCTCAAATTAGTTGCAATGTGTTTTGAAGAAATACCTGCTCAGCAATATGTAGACAACAGACCAAGGGTCCATTCCAGACTCCCAAAAACAAATAGTCAAAAGAAACACTAGCAAAAAGAAACATCCACAGACCTGTGGATGCTGGCAGCTGAATCGAAAACAGTGTTCTTGCAAATTTCATTCTCCGTATTTGAAAATTGTGCAGTGTGATATTTATACATAATCATTCATACATTAATATGTCCAACAAATGTTTTGTATTCAAATAACATGTCAAATTGTGCAGTGTGATATTTATA